AAAGAACCAGAAAAAAACACAGTACAAACGGTTAAATACTGTAAATAACAGCAAGTATCTGTAAGATGATTAGATATTTTTGCTGATACATTGTTGCTCATTTAAAACAGTTGAAATAGTGTCATCTTACAGTCAAACACTGTCATAGAACAAATTATCATTTATGAAAACACTGATTTTGAGTGGAATTATGAAGAGAGTCAGTCTGTTTTTATGGCTAACACGTAAATTAATACTTTTCCCCCTGATTTTACTAGACATTATTTGTAATTTATCAAACCCGAACAGCCTGTTGATAAGCACCACATCCAGCAGGCGACTTCAAATTAAGTTTATTACGCTCTAAAACAAATATTGAGGCTCAACAACAACAAGGAAAAGAAGGAATACAACCTCTAATGCTATTATGTTTGTTCAATTTACAATCAATAGGATTCTAAATGACAAGTTGCTTAACAATTGGTAGCATAAACACAAGTTTTTAAAGTTTTCAAAGAAATCCTGAGTTCAAGGTGGAGAAACATTATCAAACTTATTTAATTAATTTACCACAACATGAAGCTTGTTATAAATCAATAACAGAGCACATTTTGGTTTCAATTACAGTCATTATTAAGTTAGTGTAATTATCAACATTTTGATGTTCATTAGATCTGGCTTTTCTTTGCTCCATGTTACTACATATCACATCAACATGTGAAGAAAAGGTAAAGCTTAACTGGCAGTGCTCAGTAACAGCTGACTGGACAATAGTTGTAAGTGGGAGAAGTTTAATGAACGGTCAATTGCAAAACTGTTAGATATAGTTAGCTGGTCTTTGGTGGATAGCAAATTGCATTTGAGACCATAATTCGTTTACAAATTGCTGTACACTTTGGTAAATCTCATTTCATTTCACAAGCTTTCAGACTTATTCCTCTTCATATACTCTCTAAGTCGTTTTTGCTCTTTATGCCACGTGATGTGTTAATCCCACTGTGATGAAAGAAGCCAATAAAAACTGGTGAGTGAAACTGGGCGACTAATAATTGGAAACACGGAGAGAGAGAGAGAGAGAGAGAGAGAGAGAGAGAGAGAGCGAGAGAGAGAGAGAGAGAGAGCACATAAATATGATGAATCCAGATGAAAGTAGTGAGAACCTGTGGTTCATTTTCTGCCGTAATTGGTTCTTTTAAGATTCCCAACATGAAATGCATCTGACCATGTCAAATGTGCACATGTGCATGAGTCCAGGATCCTGTTTTGATCAAAGAGCCCGTTTTAGTCAGTGGACGTGAAGCAGAGAACAGCTCTGCCTTTGTAATTGTACGAACAAGTACATGAAGCACCATGACAGTCCCTTTTTTGGTCCATCTCATTCTTCTTCATCTTTTACATTTTAATTAAAATTTCTTCCTTCATTCCTTCCTTCATTCCTTCCTTCCTTCCTTCCTTCCTTCCTTCCTTCCTTCCTCCCTTCCTTCCTTCCTTCCTCTGTTTTATTTTAATGTACTGTATTCTGTCCTTTGGCTGGTCCACAAGATACTGCTATTAACATTGTTTTCGTGAATATTTCCTCCATTTTTAAAAATGTTTTATGCCAAAACGTGGATCAGATGCAAAGTGTTGGGTACCATGCTCCCTTTAAACTCTATTTAGCATAGCATTAGCACATGCTAAGTAGCTACCAGACAGAAGGCTATGAAGTCTGGATTCACATAATCTTCTGAGTGACATCTTAAGAAGGCTTTGCTTTCCGTCTGTCTCTCCTCTCCTCTCCTCTCCTCTCCTCTCCTTATTTTTTAGGTTTCATTCCTCCTGTTGTTGTCTCCAGAGGGCTGTCTTCAGGAGTTCAACACCAGCTGGTTTTCTGGTGTCATTGTTGTCTGCTTGAAAAGGGTTATCTTTTGCCTTTGAGGAAGGGATCTTGATGTAATAGGGTCAGCGGTGTTTCGTCATTCGGATTTGAAGGCCTTCTCCAAAGAAGTCCATTTTAATTAAGAGATTATGTCTCTCATTTATGCCTCACTCAGTTTAAATGGTTTTAGCCAAATGAGGATAGTATTTCTTTTAAAAAAAAACAACTGAAGAACCTCAAGGCAAAATCTGCTGATGCCTGTGAGGTGACACAAGTTCTTCAAAGTTCCTCTGAAGGGTGGATGTCTCTTTGTTTCCTGCCTGTTATTCTTTATGCCATTTGTTTGTCAATCTGTCTGTGTGTTTGTTTGCCTGTCTATCAGCAAGATTGCACAAAAAATAAGCAGTTGAATTTAATGAGACTTGGCGGGGAGGCGCAACGTCGCCAAATTTTGATGCAGATCCAGATCAATTTCTTTAAAACTGCCCTTTTTTGTCAATTCCCTCTTTTTACAAACCAGTCCCTCCTGCATCTTCTCTCCCAAATCCATCAACTCTGTGAGCCGCCCCGCAGCGACGAATATAGTATTGATCCTGATATTTATAGGAGGTGACAGGGGGTGTCTGCGTGACAGCTCTGAGAGCACTAGGGAGTCTTGAAGGAGGAAGAGTGGGTGATCATCATCTTCTCAAAACTGCAGGGGTGAAAGCCGAAGTGACTCAGCTGGCTTCCAGGCAGCCAACTGTGTGGCGAACTTTCAACTTGTCGCTTTAATACAGTTTACTTTGGAAAACTTGCTCAGCTTGCACGACCCACAGTAACCAGTTCATCTGTACGGTGTATCAAGTGCAGATTCAGTGTTATTTAGTAAAGATTCAAAGTTATAATCCTGCAGATTCCAGTTTGGTTGGATAACTTCTGTGGTTTCTGCATGTGCTCTTAGAAAAATAATGGTTCTTTAAAAGATCACCACCACTCACTGAAGAACCTCTTTATTTAGGGGGTGTTTCTTCATTTGTGTGTGCTAAAGGTTCTTTGTTTCTTGTGGTTATCTAAAGGCAGATAATGCCAATAAGTAGAGCTGCCAACAATTATGTTCATTATTGATTTTGTGCAGCTTTTGCTCACAATTAATCAATTCCAATGTGATCTAAAAACATGAAAAAAAAACACAAAGAAATGCTTATATCAATTCCCCAAATTCCAAATTGGCATCTTGTAATATGTTTTTCTATCAGACCAACAGTCTAGAACCTAAAATATTACATGTCTTATAATAGAAAACCAGGAAATGCTGCAAACTTTTTTTTTGCTTGAAAGAAACTACTTAAAAAATTATGAAGTCCCATTACCAAAATAGAACCAGGTGAGTCCACAAACAACTACCTCCTAATTTTGCTAAAGTTCTTTGGAGCAACGTTTTTTGATGATTCTTTGAGGAATCTTTGTTTTTTTTTCTTGAGGAACCATCTTTAAAATACGTCTTGCTAAAATAATCTTTGTGGAACTAAAAATGTAAAAACGGTTCTTTTATGTCATTTGGCTCCAGTTAATTGTACAGGTCACGGATTTCTGGAGAAAACAAACGCTCCTTGAGCAACTACATTGTCAGAAATAACACAGACATGCAACTGCAGCTCTTTTCAGCGCAGCTAAACAAACTCAAGTTCAGTAACTAATTTGTCTTTTTTCATCTTGCCAAGAGCAAGTGCAGTCTAAATTTGTGCTGCACACAGCAAAATTATCTTTCTGCCAGTAGCACGGTTCAGTGAAGTTGGTTATGTTGAAAATGGAAATACAATGGTTCCTGAGAATCACTTGTACATTGTGAATCCACCACTAAAGCTGAAAAATAGAAGTAGATTTTGACTAGAAATGATTTCACATTCAACGCTGGTGAATTTTGGTTCAATTTAGCAACTAAGAAAGTGTTTGACTTTGTTGCATTTCTGCTTCATGTGACACCATAAACCCGTTGTTACATTATCTGCGTGAACCCTTGTTTACAGAAATATTGAAATGAGAATACAGAATTGGGAAAACCGCTGATTCCTCCCACAACGCTATTCTTCACCTGTGCTATAAAATCTTTCAGCACTTCATCTCCTGCCCTCAGGCTAAAGTCTGCAACTCCTCTGCACTTAGTTAAAATAGCTTGCTGAGCATTTTCCACAAGGTAGACATACTGATATTGTGCCTCAGGCTTTCTAGGTTCCATCCTGGATAATTAGTAAATAACGCTCTATGTATTTTGGTTATCCATTCAGCACTTGAGCTGAAAGTCTTGCCAAACACATACCTAAATATAGGTAAATTATAATAAGGATGAACCTTCACAGCTGCCAAAACCTATTCCAATCTATATTTACCATTATTCAGATTAAAAGGAGAGGACATGCTTGTCACTGTGATTCATTTTCATGTGGATATTACATTTCTGCTTGAGTTAAAATAAGATTCTATTCTTGGATGTCTGTCCATGATGCTACCTAAGGAAACACAACTATTCTAGAGGCTTCTAAAATAAGTTTCCTAATACATGATGATAAACTGCAGTGGTGGTCATTTCATTAATAAATTCATGTCAGTTCAATGGTTTCCTGACAGTGATTATTTGAACTGTACTGCAGCAGGATAAATCCACTGCTTCATGTCACACTGCACGCTCCTCAAAGCTCAGAACCCCCACTGTGCATTTAGCCATGATCTTGAAGCTTAACCGACTTAATTTAGGAACGTATCTACGCATGTAAGCACTGTATATGTTCTAGAAATTAATATGCATGGCAACATGCATGCTTGACACCAACATGGCTCTGCTGGGAATGTGATAACATCCTGTGAGTGGTGTTGAAAAGCTGCAATTAGATCAAGATGTTGGGGAAAGGAAAGAAGAATCTGTGTTAATAGTTACAAAAAGCTTGGCCAGCGAGGTGGTCATAAAATTTGGCAGAAAAGGTGGTAGCAAATAGATTAGATTGTGGAGGTTTTGTTTCTGGCCATATGACAAAAGTAAGTTCAATATTCACTTTTTTATTGCAAATCAATACATGAGGCAAATGTATGTTGTCTGTCTGCCAATTTGTGTCAAGCAAGTGGTATTCATCAGGTTTTTATAGCTTTGTAGATGACAACAAGCACTGCTGTGACTGAAAACTACGCTATGGGAGTGAACCACGGCAGTAAAGTTGTAGACCAGGAAGAAGAATGATAGAAGCAGGTCTTTAAAGATACGTCAAGAAGAAAAGTGCTGGAGCTAATGAAAAAAAATAAAGAAAGTCTCATGGCTAACTGAACTAAGCTGAAATAAATTGAGACTGAAAGCTGTAATGTCAGTCAGGAGATCAGGGTTGAAGGTCAGTGTGAGGTGTCCGTGTCCAGAATGAAAAAATTAAAAAAGAAAAAAAAAAAAAAGAAGCTTTTTTTTCTTTTGTTTTAAAGATCAGGAACAAGAAATATGTGTAAGACAGTAAAAAGTTCTAAACAAATAAAGAAAAACAACAAAACTTTTCCACTACTCAAACTGGACCTTGAGTTCCATTCTTCACTGTTATGACTCCTTTTTTCTTTTTTTTTTTTTTAGCTCCATCTCAAATACACAAACACTTTAAAAGATCACAGATAGTCACAGACTTGTTCAAAGTAGACTTTTTTTTTAATTTGATGACTTGAGCTGAGGAACTAAAATCTAAAGAGACTTCATCAGATAACACAAAACATTCATTTTCTCAGACTGAAAAGATGAGTGATGTGATGCTGCACCAAAACTGGAAGAGGCTGATGTCTGTTTTTCCCTCACTTCCCTCTAAAAGTTGTTTGTACCATGACTTGAGTTGATTACAATTGACTTGGAGGACTGTGGAGGATGGCTGTGATTGATCATTGTTAGATTTTCATTGAGTTTTTGCATTTTTTAAACATATTACCAGCACAGCTTCCTTTCTCACACTGTATGGCCACTGATCAGTTTTTCTGGACTTCTGTTTTTTATGTTTGCACCCTCAGACTGCTTCTCCTCCAAGGCAGAGGACCGACTGTTCAGGAAACTGTTCAGACGATACAACCAGTTCATCCGACCGGTGGAGAATGTCTCCGACCCCGTCACGGTGGAGTTCGAGGTCTCCATCTCGCAGCTGGTCAAAGTTGTAAGCTTTGCAGCCTTCCTTTCCATGCATTAACACATACAGAAACACTCAGCTCAACATCATTTCAAAGGTGTTTTAAGCTGCTTTACAAACTCTTCATTCATAGTCTTGTTTTCTGAGTGTGTATGAACAATCCAGAACGTGTCAAATACACAGTTTCACTTTTTGTCGCCTCTCAACAATACATGAGAGTCTGTGTGAACCATGCGACGTCTTCCCACGAGCGTCTTCATCATATTTCCTACCTTTGAAACAGAAACGCTACAACGATAAGCTGCGGAATGGGAAAAGTGAAAGCGGAAAGTAAATGCCGTCTTTATTTAGTCTGTTCAATTTCACGGATAACAACAATGTCCCACAGTGCTGTTAGACACTGCTCCTATGCTTTGGCAATGTGAAGTTTAAGGTGGTGGTGGTGGTGGGGATGAAGTGGGGATGCTGCTCATTCCCCAGTGAAAAGAGGTTTTCAGCTCAGGATGGAAATCCTCAGATTAGGAGAAAATTGCCTGCAGGAGCCTTTTTCCAGACTGGACTGATATGTCGCTGTATATCTGCTTGCTCGGTAAGGTGAGATTAATCTAAAGGCGAGCGTGTGGATGTGCACGTCTGAATGAACGTGTCATTACGAGGGTGTCTCTGGACCCATTTTAACGTGTCTGCCTGTGCACAGGATGCAGGTATGTACGTGTCGTATAAATTGTGAAAATCGTAGGACCACAAATCAAAAGTGAAAAACAGTTACAGAGGAAGATATAGAAGATGTGACATTTGTAACCTTTGCATGTATTATTAACATGCTCACAGTCGACCTTTTCAGTCAATCAACTCCAGCTCTAGAGGACAAAGATTAAGGAAGGAATTCCATTTCTTTTAAAAAGGTTGTGAATATTTATTCCTGCCTTATATATATATATATATATATATATATATATATATATATATATATCCACATACACAACACACTCTCTCTCACGTGCACATCGTCTTCCTCGCTAACAAGCTCTCCTTTTCTGTGTCTCTGCAGGATGAGGTGAATCAAATCATGGAAACAAATTTGTGGCTCAGACATGTGAGTATGCATGCACGCACACATGCACATGACACACAGCATGTATTAACCGTTTTCATTGATCTAGCTCCATCCGAGTGGGTTGGCAGAGACGGCGGTAAGTGAAGACTGAAGAGGGTCATGTGTGTCAGCAGCCATCAATATTGGATGTTTCTCCCTCTGTGTGTTGCTACGTGTGTGATTACCATGAAGACAGTAAGAGTAAAGGAGAGGCCACAAATGAACAGGAAAACAACGATGTCTCAGAGAGACACTTGAATCAGCTAGTGATCAATGTTAGCATTATGGTAAGTCACGTGCTGTCTCCCAGTAGATCTATAGCCTCAGACCCTGAACTCCTGACCTCACGCTGCCAGCTGTTCTCCCAAATGACAATTTGCAATTCTCTGACACCTTGTAGCTCTGTTTCTTCTTCTTTTGCTCATCTTCGCTATCTGTATTTCTATTTTTTTTTTTTAATTCTCTAACCATTATCAGTGTTGCCTTTTTAAATCTGGTTGCCCTCCCATGGCCAACTAGTCATTGGATGTGATTCAGATGTTGTGATCCCTGATCTCTCCAATTAAAATACATTGAAAGGCCTGTTTGGGCTGATCTCATTTGCTGTTTGTAATGGCTGAGCAGTTTATTTATAACAAGGCATCGCTAACGAGAAGCTGCGTCAACACCACAGCCACTGATAAAGACTCTGGATCACAGCCGGTGGAAGCCATTTTAGAGAGGACCCCCTTGGTGAATTTATTGCAACTGTTCTGCAGCACAACTGCAGGGGATTCTTCATAGTATAGCCTTAATATACTGGGTTTCCACATTTGTTCACTTCAAACTCCTAAAAGCTAAGCTCCACTGACTGCTTTTATGTGCAGGATAAGAAAACTGAAAACTTTTCAACTGCATTACATACTGTGCAGTCACAGTTGTATTTGGTGTGGACTTATTAAATAAGCAATCTTTGGCAAGCTGTAAAATTACAGGCTGAAGCGTGTTCACAGCAATGCATTCTAAGCATCATTTCTCTGACTCTTTTAACTGTGGATAATACCGTAATATAATATAATAATTATTACTACCGCCTTTCATCTCTGCTCTTTAACCTTTATTTTCTATTTTCAATTTCATATCCCAATGACCACCTTGTTTTTTTTCCCCCCTACTTTGTCATTTTAATTCTTCTTTTATCCCTCATAAACTGGACATTCTAAGAGACTGTATGAAAATTATTTGTGTAGGAAGGCACGCTAAAATGTTTTGAATCAGGGCATTATCAAAACCTTGGTGGGCCTCATTTTATGAATGAGGTAGATAACTGAATAAATTAATTGACAAATTTAAAAATGGTAATAAGGTAACTACAATATTTGCATATATGATCAGTGAAATAAACATCAAATGAAAAACATGCATTTCTTTCCCTAACTGATTGAATTAGAAAACAAATGAATGGATAGCTAAGAAATACAATATATCTTCAAATAAATCAGCATTCAGTGAAACAAATGGCTGTTTTAAACCAGTCTTTGAAACAATATATCATTTTATATTATTTTCAGAGTAGTAGGACATTTCATTCCACTATTTATAACTGAGGGGGGCAAAATAAGCGTTTTATGATGATGAACTCTAATTTAAAATCTGTTAAATGCAACAATACTCATGGATCATTTCATATAATTTATCGAAAATACATCACAATTTATAACCTATTTATTTAATCAATTTTTCAGGTAACAAATTGTAAATAATTATAATTTTAAAAAATCTTATTTTTTATCTACTGTTTGATCATGACTGGGAAGAATATTTCAAAAACAATATATAAAAAAGTGAGATTACCCTCCCCTTAGCTAACACAAACAACTGCATGAGCCTCTTTTGGAATCCAGTAATTTTTACACAGTCCCTAACTTACTTGATATCAAAGACCTTTTCACATATTCATGAAAATAGCTTAACCAAGCGATCTGTTAATTACTGCATTAGAACTTAAACATGTGATAGAGGCATCAGCTGGTTTCAGTGTCAGTATTTTTTTTTCTCTCACTGCTGGGATCTTATGGCCACAAGAAGCTGAACACCTGAACGTATCAGGAATTAAATCTGCAGCCAATCACAGTGTAAACTCCCTGGAGATAAGTGGGCAAGCCAGTGAAGCATAAAGTGGTTAATTAAACAGCTCCCAGGTCATAACTAGTTATTAATCCGCCTTGGTAATGAATGAATTCATCTTGGGTGACATACAAATAGCCAAGACTAATGAATCTACGCCTCGTGAAATGTTACCTGCAGGTACGTTGACAGAATAACCAGTGAACACACTCATCCTTTATTTCTGTCAGTGAGATATTTGCTCATATACTCCCCCTTTTCTCTGAGCTGCTCTTCATACAGAAAGTGTGGCTATTGTGGTACGTCTTACGGCATGGTTTTCTTATGGAAATATGGAAATATTGGAGAACTGCCCCCCTACTTTCATCCGAAGCAAGTGCAGATGCAAATAACAGCAATGTGATGCTCAGTGAAACTTGTGTTTCTGTCTATAAACACCAGGTTTTTTATTTTTTTATTTTGCCATGATATCCTTATTTGGCTCTACTGTAAAACATCAAAGCAATTTCTGCCTGCAGTATAAATATGTTTTCCAAAATATTCCCATGAAGGGGGATGTCTCCAGTGACTAACACTGTCTGTCTGCAGTGTACAATTTACAACATTAAAAACAGATGGTCGGCTCCCCAGTACGCTCAAAATGTTTTTTTCTCTTCATCTCCCGCAGATTTGGAATGACTACAAACTACGATGGACACCGGCAGAGTTTGATGGGATTGAGTTCATTAGAGTTCCATCAAACAAGATCTGGAGACCTGACATTGTGCTCTATAACAAGTGAGGCCGCCAACGTAGCTGCAGTCACAACTTATTAACTTAGCAAGCATCACCACGATTGCAGTCATTAGGAAAACAATAGAAGTGTCTGCGTATTCAAACTTCGATAAAAGAAGTAATTGTGCAAATAATGACGATATAATAACTACTTTTAGCAGCTAATAAAAAAAAAGTGTTATATAGCAGCAAATGTTTTGCATCCTATCCTCCCTATTGTCTATGTCGCTTTTTTTTAACCCAGACCAAGGTCTCTCTCAAACCTTAAACCTGCACACACTGGTGGATCACTTGCAGCAATGAAACCACAGCAAATTATCAACACCAGCTCTGCAAGTTTAGACTTTTTAGCTTCTTTCAGAGCACAAATTACCATTTATAGCCAACTTTATTGCTCTGTTTTCGTCTTATTCCTCTCTTATCAGCTTCCTTTCCAACAGCAGGCAGCTGTTTTCATCAAGAAAGGCTATCCCTAAACTTACTGTACTGCCCAGCATGAAACAACAGACAAATCTATGGACTTGTGAGAGAACATAGTCGAACAATTAGCAGCTAAATATGTCCCACAGGTTTTGTTGAAAATAGACACACAAAGCTACAACAAGAGCAAGCTGTAGATATACACTTATCACCAGAATAGCCTTTACAAACAAATGCTAAAGCTGCTCTGTGCAAAATAAAAATAAAAATAAAAAAGAATAGAGCTTGGGTAATTTAGAAAAGCACTGACAAAGACAGAAAAACAGATAAACTCTTTTGGCATTTCAGCACGAGAGGTTGCGGTATTAAAATTTTACATGGCACGACCGTCTTTTATGTCTTCAGCTGCTACAGTATGCAACAGCTGATACTGTAATTAAAATGAAGAATGCTAATGTGACAGTGTATTGTTCAGGGTTAGTTTGTGCTGTGCTCTATTCTTCCACTTTCAATAGTGGCTCGCTGCGATAATCAAAGGCAATTTTGTATTTCATAATAATACATAATGCAGCTTCATTGTCCTCTCCCTTTTAATCCTAATGCTGACTTTCTTAGTTCTGTAATCTCACCTTTTATCTTCTCCCCTTTCTTTTGTGCCCCACTTTCATTTTCTCCTCCCATTGTTTGACATCTCTGCCGTCCTCTAACCTTTGTGTCCTTTTCAAAACCCACTTCCATCCTATCTTCTCATGCCTTGTCTGCCATGGGAATACATGTGACTGATTGTACGTACACACACCTCATACACAGCGCTGTAGGGGATTTCCTGGTGGAGGATAAGACCAAGGCCTTGCTGAAGTTTGATGGTACCATCACCTGGGTTCCTCCAGCCATTTTCAAATCCTCCTGCCCGATGGACATCACCTACTTCCCCTTTGACTATCAGAACTGCTCCATGAAGTTTGGCTCCTGGACTTATGACAAAGCCAAGATTGACCTGGTACTTATTGGGTCCAAGGTTAGTGTTTGTGACTGTTCAAGTCGAGTGAAACTATTAGGAACCTAAATGATTCTTTTTCTTTTTGTTCTATCTACTGATTACAATCTAGTTAGACACTGCATGCATTTAAATGCTTTATATGTTTATGTAAGGTCCCTACTGACTGTAAAACTGATCAGTGTCTACTCTCAACAAGAAAGTCATATTATATTGACCATAATTCAATGCTGAAAAGCAATAAGAGGAAAATTTCCAAGAGGGTGAATACTCTAATGGGCAATGTACAATCCAATATAAATCAACTGGTTTCCATTTCTTACAAATTTCTATTTCTAAAAAAAAAAGAAAAAAAAAAAGGTTTGTATCCTATTGACTGACAGGGCCCTTTCAAGAATGGCAAGTTGACTCTAACTGCTCTTCTAGTGATAAATTTGAAACTTTAAGATCTTTATCCGTCTTCTAGGTGAACCTGAAAGACTTTTGGGAAAGCGGCGAGTGGGAAATCATCGACGCTCCAGGCTACAAACACGACATCAAGTACAACTGCTGCGAGGAGATCTACCCAGACATCACCTACTCCTTCTACATCCGACGCCTGCCACTCTTCTACACCATCAACCTCATCATCCCCTGCCTCCTCATCTCTTTCCTCACAGTGCTGGTTTTCTATCTCCCATCTGACTGTGGAGAGAAGGTCACGCTCTGTATCTCCGTCCTGCTCTCCCTCACTGTGTTCCTGCTCGTTATCACCGAGACCATCCCCTCCACATCGCTGGTCATCCCGCTCATTGGAGAGTACCTGCTCTTCACAATGATCTTCGTCACACTCAGCATTGTCATTACTGTGTTTGTACTGAATGTACACTACCGCACGCCAATGACCCACACCATGCCGTGTTGGGTGCGCTCGGTGTTCCTCAAGGTGCTGCCGAGGATTATGCTGATGCGGAGACCGATTGATGAAGACAGCAGGGCTGGGGGGTTGGACGGCAGTGGGGAGGCAGGAGGAGGAGCTGGAGGGGGAGGAGGAGGCGGAGGAGGAAAAGGAGGGAAGAAGCGGAAGAATAGCTTGATGCAGGTAAGTGGTTCCTGTCACTGAAACATGAAGTCCACCTGAGCAAGGCTCTGACCCAGGTGTCATAAATGGACCTGCTCTGTAAACTAAAGAAATCTTAACTGTGAAGGGGTTTCTCCAGGGTACGACAATTAGGGAAGGTCAGGTCAGGAGGTCGGCACTACAACACCAAGCACAATTCAGACTGATGAAGAGTATGTTGAAGTATGTTCTCCTGGGGAACAAAGGTGGTTTGGGTGCTACACCTTTTTAATCACAGGTCATTTAGGTTACATTAAATACAACTGTTATCCCATTGATTGCACATGAACAAGCTGTGACTAGCTCACAGCTAAAAGTGGTTCAACTTTGAGTTCAGCATACAGGCCTTTAGGTCACACTGCTGCAAGGTTCAGCCTCTTCTAGAAAAACAACACTTTACACTGTAACAAAGCAATTCTGTCACTAATCATGCACATAAAGCTGGAGTATGCAAGTTTAAAAATATGCAGCCCTCTTCCTGCAGCTCTTCCTTCTCCTCTCTTTGCTCTAAGTCCCTTCATTTGCGGTTTCACCCAGGATTAACTCTCCTGATTTAAACCTCCATCTAACCAATTGCACCACGTCCTGCTCTCACTGTGGACTTTTTTCTTCTTCTATTATTTCACCTGATCTGGGTGAAAACACTCAATTAGCTAAGATCTTCTGTCATGCGCTAGATTTCTAAAGGCTGAAAACAGTTGAAAGGAGGCGCAAAAGTCTAGTTTCCACTCAGACCACTTGAATTACAATATGCTAAAAGGTTGGTATGGTATTTTTGCCCAGAGATGCCAAAAACAGATTGCATACCTCAGCTTAAAGCTCCCATTAGCTTTAAAGTCAGTTTCAGCTCGTTCCAGCTCACAAAATTATTGCTTTGCTTCACTCTTACAACTCTCAGAGGTATTGCAGCTGAAAATCTCACTTTACAGTAATTTCAAACCAAAGTAGGAAACAGCTAGTGAGTAGTTAGTGAACAAAGTGAAGCTTATAGCAAGTGAAAACCAAAATCAGAGCAAAAACAGAACTGAAAGGAGAGTCAGTGTGACTCAGTGGAAGGACAGAAAAGTCAAATGAACGATGGTGTTACTCTGTAACTAAAGTAAAAAATAAACTATCTACTAAAAGATTCAAAGACAATGGTAGGTGGTGCACTTCTAATGGGCAAAAAAAAACCATTTCAAGTGATAAAGTCTGTCCATAGCTACTCTCTGGTAGTTCTGGAGTTTTTAAATCAATGATGATGCAGACAGGCTTTTACCGTACACAAAAGTATTAAATCAATGCCCTCCTCAGCAACAGCATTGTCTCTTCTGATGATATCTGCCTATTTTCTGAGTTTCTTGGGAGCAAGTATAAAATTGAATTAACTGCAATTTTAGTTTATTTGAATAGCCCCTCAGGATCTCTGCACACTTTATGTCTAAATAAAAGCATGACAAACGGCATTAGGCTTCACATGTAAAACACGCTTGCATTTAGAGTTTAGTCGAGTTTGTTTCACCTGTGGGTCAGGGAAACATCATAGTCATCATTGATTTTTTAGATGCCAGGCAGGTATGCTGTAGAAGTAACTGAACAGTTTCTGATTCTGTATAAGTTGTATTCCCTCTTCTGGGAGGCAAACCTTGAAGCACCTCAACCAACAATCTGAGAGCATGTTTAACCATTTAATGGCATGCTGGTTGCACTCGCTGCTTTTCAATAATCCCTTGGGGTACAACTATTTTTCTGTAAGCACTGAATCAAAAAAAAAAAAAAGATTTTTTGCTACAGGTGGAGAATTTCATCGATGCTCTCACAGAAAATGTATACACACTGTGTATTCAATATATTCTTAACAGGAAACACTGAGAGCTCAGCAGAAATACCTAATAAAGATCATATACTCCAAAACACTGGAAAGACACAAGTTCCTCCTTGATATCACCTCCTTAATGTTTTTTTTTGCAAAGATCTAACAAATGTATTCCACACCTGTGAAACAAGCCACGGCTGAAATAGAGAAATCGTTGCCAAACAATGTTGACTTTGAGGTGAAGGAGAGTGTGAAACTCACTCTATACTGTGACTGTGATCCCCAGCAGGTTGGAGGAGGATCCCTCAACTGTCTGGAGTTCGGGGACAGTAAGGTCTCGTCGGTGGAGGGCTGCACCGGGAAGAAATGCCCTTGTCCCTGCCAGCACGAGACCCCAGAAACACCAGAAGCTGGGAAGATGACACGCCAGTTGAGTCCCCAGAGCATCAGTACAGTGGTGGCCTTTTCCGTGGTGTCACCTGAGATCAAGCAGGCCATCGAGAGCGTCAAGTACATCGCTGAAAACATGAGGAGTCGGAACAAGGCCAAAGAGGTGAGTCGGTGTTATTTTGATGTAACTGATCAAATGTAGTTGGGCGATAAGAGTAGAATAAATTAAAGCTAAGGCAAGCTTGAAATCTGGAGCCATTTCTGTATTAAAATGTCCTCCAAGGTGGTTACTTTTAGATTCACATCGCCAATGGGAAAGCCTAAAAATGGCACTGAAACTAGTCATTGTTCACCAGTGTGGGCATCATTTAGTACTTTTCCTCTGTGCTCTGTGGGTTTGTAAAGGAGGGCGAGGAGCCCGTGCTGCATGGGGTAACCACTGTCACCGGCAAATTATTAAGATTAATGGTACATCAGGCTTGAGTGAGCTCACTGCAGCCACACATGGTCCTCATCTGTTCTCTGCACTGCTGTAAGTCAGAATAAAAGACTTGTGTGCAGAGCCAGGCTGGTTAGCATTCATTAGGATCTTGGCAGTGTCACATACATTTTGCTCTCACAATGTGAGTCCAGTCAAATGTGGCAATTTGGGAAAGTGAACATTGCTGCAAAGTGTGTTTCAACAGTGGTCAGCGCTTGCACTGGGATGACACAGTTCCACCAGATTGTCTGTCTAAATCCAACATTGTGGCTCTAAAGAATCTGAAAGGCTTATTAACTGTCGTCATGGGCTGATGATGTTTGTTATGGTAAACTCAGGCTTCATTTTAATCAGAAGAAGTGATAATGAGCGTATCCAAATATATGCGAGGACTGTCATCTGCATTACTTCCAGACATTTCCTCAGTTTCAAAAATGAACATGCATGTTTCAGAGTTCCCTACAGCTGTGCATAATCTCCCAAATCAAGTTTTTATTATTTATTTTTTTAATAAATCCAAACATATGCATGAATCCGTTTCAGTTTTGTGCAAATGCAATGGTAATAAATGATTCCCCAAAATCTGGATACTGAAGCAAATAAATTGAATTGAGCTGTTGTAAGTTTTTTTAAGACTATGGCAATGTCCTACAGCTGATACATCTAAACTAATGAAGTCACCAGTAATGCTATTGGTTCCACTTGCAGTTTTTCTGCTATTCACCAAACTATTAAGACATACTGTGAAAAAAAATCAAATAAATAAATGAATAAAACAACTGTAAAAAAAATCTGCTAGTACGAGTTCCAAAAGAATATATATATGTAATAAAGAGATTAAATACTCACAAATGGGAAATTTCACTATTCTTGATGTGGACATTATGTCCCATTTTAGCCATTTTTAAAATTCTTGTATTTTTAATATATATATAGTCAACATGTAAATAAATCCTTTCCTCCCTGTAATTTTACTTTAATTTCCAAAAACAGGGAAAACAGGAAACAGTTAAACATTTTAAATAATTATTTTTAATCCTTAACATACTTTTTTTTCAAAAATGAAAAAAATTGTCAATTAATGATTTTTTTTTACTAATTTAAATTAAAAAAAGTTAAAAAAAAAAAAAAAAGTATTTTAGCATCAAATGTTATAAAAGAACAAATGACCATTTATATGAATTAAGATAGTTGATGTTGACGTCATTAACAGTTTTGATTTCTTTTTTATGATGTTGCTAGATATTATGTGTAAATTAAGAAAGAAGAGGAAATCTGGAAAATAGCAATAATTTACTAAAACAAATTACTGCTGAAACCATTAAAACATATTAACTTTTCCTGTGCAAATAATGTGCTGATCTTAACTCAAGTGAACAATATGACACACATAGTGAAGTCATTTTACTGTAAGTACAGTTTTATTTTTTCATTTTAGGAAATAAATTAGTTGAAAAAAACTTTTAAATGATGTCACAAAGGACATTTATTATTCTAGTGTTTCTATAAATCCCTCAAATACAGCCACGAGAAGCAGGCACACTAATGCATAATGCATTAATGCAAACATACTTCATACTAACCAAAACAGTGCTGGCCTGGGAGATCTTTGCTGTAATTCTTCTCAGCATTGTTGCGGCGTTGAACCTGCCCCGCAAGTTAACAATAGTGTAACTTAGAACCAAATAATTTTAGATATGAGCTGAGAGCTTTCCCTCCTCCCTCCGTCAGTTATAAATACAGTGGGTGAAATCTCCCAAAGGGGGAGAAGAAGCCTTTGATATGCAAAACTCATGGCTCAATCAGCTTTGTCAAAACGCCTGTCGCTCCTTTTGACGCTGTGGTTTGAATGTGATTATCATAGTAATTTTTTGCTGTGTAAATTATGTATCAATTTTCTGTTGACTTACAAGAAACACTGAACTGTGTTCTCTTCTTTCTTTTCTGTCTTTCCTTATTTTTTTCCCCATCCTTGCCATGTAAACATCACTCCATCGACTCCTGCAAACTTGAACTCACCGAGTTTTTGAATCGCCCAATTCTCTCTCACTGTGCACGCTTCCTCACCTGCTTTTATTAAAAAATAAAAAATTCTTCACTAATCTTTCATTTGTCCCAACTGCCTTTTGTCTTCTCACACCTTTTTTTTTCTTTTCTTGTCCCACCCCTTTACTCACAGGTGGAGGATGACTGGAAGTACGTTGCCATGGTCATTGATAGAATCTTCCTTTGGGTGTTTGTCACCGTGTGCGTCCTGGGAACCATGGGCCTGTTCATCCAGCCGCTTTTTGGCTTTGTCTCGTAACCACTAACCGATCGGGGTTCTCTGCCACCCTGTGTCGACCTGTGAGCAAGTAACGAATGAACTCTCGGTTGTCAAAAATGAAAAGACAGAGTTTTCAGTCCTAAAGCACTATTCGGTGTGCTGGTTTGGTTCCTGCCTTTTGCAGAGAGAGTCATAAACAAGCGAAGAAGTTGAGGTTAAAAAGGCTGGTAAAACCTTAATTTTATGTCTTTTAAAGCTGCTTATTTTAGCCTAAAATAAAACATTCTACTTGCAATGGGAGTTTCTGCACTCTTACAGTGGATAAGTATTAGCAGTATCTACATATATATATATATAAAATGTTTTCTTTGTGCAATCTTTTCCATTTAAAAAAAAAAAAGAAAAACTTTTTTATTCCATTGTTTACACAAATTTAATAATATGAGTTTTAATCAGTAGTTTTGTCCATTTCCTGCAAATATTTACATCTAAATTAACGGAATGAGTCTCATTACAACTGAATACATTAAGTATGTGATTTAAATGGAGCTTAGCCACAACAAACAGTATGAATATCATTAGAGTCAACGGCTGAGTCGTAGTTACTGCTACTCTGCTAAGACGGTTAGCTTATAGACACAGAAAGCAGCTCCTGCTGGCAATACAAAGTCAGAATGTGGTAACTGGAGTGCACTTCGTTTGGTCTTTAGCTCTGATTTTTTGTCATTACAGCAAATTGTACATGCTGCTTTCATGGAAACGCTTTTTAATGATGAAGATGTCAAAACACAAGATTCAAGTTTAAAGGATAATGTCTAAATATGTAATTAAGGCGTTTTGGTCATGTGATGCAGTGCTGATTGTTGCATTGTTTAAAGGAAGGTACATTACAGCACAGCTGGGATCTAAACTCGGCACATTCAGTAGTCCTTCAGGACCAGAACCTGAACATCCAATAGATGTTAGTGAACTGGGAGCCTCCCACATCTAGTAGACACAAACTCTGAACCACACTGAACTTAACCCTGCAGCAGCCTTCCACAGAGCTGACTGATGACCGTCAAACCCACTCCCCCGTCTGATTCATCAAGCTTGTCACTGTCAGAGCCAATCGCTGCTTGCTGTTTTTTTTGTGTCATTTCCAATTAGAGCTCAGACTTCTAAATAAGGGCAGGCTGTTCTTCTTCTTCTTCTTTTTTTTTTTTGCAATTGAAACCATGTGTTTATAAATGTTCTCTCTGATTAATGTTCCACAAGGTAATTGGTTGGCCTGGTAAAGACAGGATTAAATGGTTCTTGATTACTTGCTCCTGAAATAGATTTACATTTATTAATTCTTATGAGGATTCTATCATCCAATTCCATGGCTGCTAGTTTAATCCTTTTCCTTTTTTTTCTTGTCACTTTTGATTAGTTTTACGAATAAAAGCAAACATGCAATGTAAGAAACATGCATGACGGACATTTTGATTGCTTTTACCTAGGGCTGGGCGATACAGTATATCAGACTGATTTAATTAATTAGAACAGTGGTTCTCAAACTTTTTACAGTGTGTACCACCTGAGAAAATATCTAACTCTCCAAGTACCACCATTATGACCAACCTGAACATACATTAGTGAAGGCTTATCCTATTGACTGTTCACAAAGGAGGCATGCTTACTCTGAATCTGAGGATTATTTATTTTGATAATTGTTGCCAGCAGTAGCATTATAACTATATATAACATAACAAAGTGCAGCACCTCTTTACCTCTCATACACACAGCAAGCGAGAACATTAAGAACAACAGCTGTGCTTTTTACACTCTCTCTCTCTCTCTCTCACACACACACACACACACACCACAACATAACACAACACAACACGACACGACACAATGCAACACACAAGGAGATCAAGGTGCATGAGGGAGGAGGGGAAGAGGTAGACACACACACACAAACACACACACACACACACACACACACACACACACACACACACACGCACACACTCACGCACACACACACGCGTGGAATACCAGGGGGAGAGAGAATTTCCCTGAAGTTTTTCACCATCAAGAGTGAAGCCGTTTGACACCTTCTCGTCCGCCCTCTCTCGCTCTCACTGGCTCTTGGGCTATGTCTGTACCGCATACATTTAGCCTCCCTTCCCGCTTCTCACGCACTGTCACTCTTCCTGTACTGCCTCTCAAGACCCGGTTTTGTATAAATTGTTGTAGCACAATTTTAGTAAAAGCTAAGCTACCCGAAAAGTAAAATTTCGACTGGATCGCTCGGTGGCAGGGAGCATGTGAGCCTTGGACATGTGACCCAAACCACCCACACCCCCAGTGAAAGATCGCAACAGAATCCAATGCCTCGAGGATTCTAGTCTGCGAGAACGGGGTACCAGGGGCACGAAAAGCCAGCAGACCCTGGCTGGCTTACATAGTGTGGAAAATAGTTGGAGGTGCTTAAGGGTGGGTGAACGGGTTCGGCTGGAGCGCCAGGTGACGCTTTTCCCACGGGGGGAGGGAGTCCCCCCGTGGGAAAAGGCCCCAGGCTGGGGCTGGCCTGGCTTGGGGAGGGGAGGGGAGGGGATGGGTTGGTCAATCTTGGGTGACCAGGTTTGGCTGGATGCCCGAGTGTGAGTCAGCCCGCTGGGCCTGGAGAGACGAAGGGGAGGACAGGCCCTCTGGATGCCCACGTGATCCAGGGGAATGGGAAGGGATTTGGGCGGGGGGGTTGGGGGCGTAGGGGGCGTAGGGGGCTGAAGTTGTAACACCCGCTCTCTCACACACACACACACACACACACACACACACACACAATAGGCTGGCAGAACCATAAATGGAAAAAAAATATCACAAATCTATAACATGAATGAACATTCACATTCGAAAAGTCAGCCCGTATGGTCAAACATGAAGACCTTTTTGGTCATCACTGTCACCGTCTTCACATGTGGGACCAAAAACACACACCTGTCTGATCATAATTAGGCTCATTAGTCTTTCAGCAGCGCTATAGAAAAACCTATATTGTGAAATATTATCATTATGGACATTTAAAATGTTTTTTTTATTTTTTGTGCGTCAGCTATACTTTCTTTTGATTTTAAATGCAGCAACACTTTTGCCACTGCTGCTGTTTTAGTTTTTGTTGCTGCAGCCACAGCATTAACATTGGTTATGAAATGTAAAAGAATAATAGTTGTGCTAGCGGTGCTTTTCATTCATTGGATTTGCACAAACAGCTGTAGTTCCTGTTGAAAGAAGTATATGTTTTAATGAGGAAAACTGTATTATAATTTGATTTGAAAATCCAATGAAATTGTGAATTATCAGTATTTTATGATGATTTTTTTTTGCATAAATCGCCCAGCCCTATTTTGATCACAAATACTTTGTCCTCAGAAAACAGCACTAAAAGGATGCTGTTTAATTTATTTTATTTATTTTACCGTCATTTCTACCTGTAATTTTTTTTAATGTATCTGAAATGCACAGCTCATACTGAAGAGAGAAAACATGTTTGTACAAATGATCTTTGACCTTCCTTTTGTCTGACTGTCTTTGAATTGAAAATAAATGCAGTATTTCTTCAAATAACATGACTAGCATTAACTGGGAAAGGTTTTAAAGCATCCATCCATTATCTATACACCGCTCAATCGTCACTAGGGTCGCAGGAGCCTATCCCAGTCGACTGTGAGACCAGTCGACCAACATGTTCTTGGACTGTGTGGGAGGAAGCCGGAGAATCCGGAGAGAACCCACGCTGCACGGGGAGAACATGCAAACTCCATGCAGAAAGATTCCTGGTGTCCTCACCGGGATGCGAACCGGCAACCTTCTAGCTGCGAGGCAACGGTGCTAACCATCGAGCATCGAGCCACCTTGCAGACCGTTTTAAAACATACTAAGACAAATTTTTTTTTTAAGATCCATATTTTGTACGCACACACTCACATAGTCTGCAGCAACACCGGAGTATTGCTTTGATATTTGTGTGCCATTACCCACAAAAACTGCCACCAGAGGTATAATTAAGCCTCCGGTTGCAATGTCTAATTAAAACCAGGACATTTTAGTGCTATTTAGACATCATTTTAGCATTAAGATAAAATGCATCATTATGCATGACATTGCCACATAATCATAATTATCTAACAGAGGGTTGATCTCCCCCAGCTGCAGTGGCAGAGTCAGTTGTTGCTGATTGCAGTGAGGTAGTAATTGTTGGGTTCATAGCATATTTTACAACAGAACACATTTTTGTGATTCTCTTTGCACAATCTATTTGTGGTGCATGTGTGCTACTCTGGTGTTTCTCAAGATCTGTTTTTTTATGTCCTTTCTTCACTAAAAAGCATAGATTGTTAACAATACAACCGCAGTGTATAGTCAAACACAACAGCATTTTTTAAATTTTTATTTGTTTATTTATTTATTTATTTATTTTTACATCAACATGAAATATAAAATGTAACACCTTTTAGTGAACAGAAAGTTTTGTACAAGCTTTTTTTTCTGCTAATTGTGATGAACTAGAGAACACTACATACTACATAGGTTTAAATAATTATGACACTCAAATAAGACAGATGCATATACTCCAATATAGCCCATGTGTGATTTGACACTCAGCTATAGGTGTCACTAAAGAGAGGGAATGCCACCAGTGTGGTTCTGAAACAAGTCATAGAAAGAGAGAAAACAACTTTAATTTTGCAAGATCCTGGATACACTGGTTCTTTAGTGTTGTGTGGCCACTGTGGTTCATTAATGCTGGAAGGTACTGAGATCTCAGAGTCTCAGTTGGATGTTGACTCCTTCTTCTCTCCACCTTCCTTATTCCTCCTCCTCAAACCAAGGAAGTTTCTGTTTTTCCCTTGGGGAGCTTCTCCTCAGAGATTTCTGGCTCTGGTGTCATTTCAAGGAGCTCTAAACCAGTGTGGGACTCCTCTGGCTGCTCCTTCAGCTCTTCCTTCAGCTGAGAGTTTCTCTTCAAAGAGCCTGGCTGACTCCTTTCTCAGCCTCGAGCTGGGTGT